AATATTAACTTGAAAACAAGTTTACAAAAATAACAATTTTGTGAGTAGGACCATAGATATATACTTTGTATGTTTCCCAGATTTCTTTTCCTTCTAAAAGAGTTACCAAAAAAGAATCAAATTTTGGTATTTCTTACAGAATATTTTAGAAAAGAGACAGGTTAAGAAGAAATTAACCAAACTAAACTGGACACTTGGAAGTCAGCATGCTTGATAATCTGCTTTTTTCTTCTTCACTTGACATTCCAATTATGCCTAAACCTTGCTGGAGCACAAACCATCAAATCCCATTACTTCTTTCTGAAGATCTTCTAGGGACAAATGATAGGTCTTTGACATCCTTCAATTCTACTGGAAATTTCTGGAGCAATATGGGAAAACATTTGTGATCCTTGTACAGAATGATGTACAGAATGACGGGTTTCTCAAATGTCTAGTTTCCCAGTAACTTTTCCTGTCTTTGATCATCTTGATGTGCACTGAAGAGAAACTGACACTTCCCACACCCCTGTTAGTAATACATAGTTATGTAACTGGAAATATGCAATTTGCTTTTCTTTTGTCATTTCTCATCTTTTCTTTGCTCATCTCTCATTCCACTCATTTCTTTGCCTCAGCTGATGAAAAGACTGATTGAGGACTTTTTATTGAGTTCCCTATAAGCAGAGAAGTCAGGTTTTTATTTACAATACATATTCTCCTGCTCCCGAGAGTCAATCATCGCTTGACTATTTTTCACAATATCTAATACCAATTCCACCAGAACCTAAGACTATTTCTTGGCATTTGCTTCACCGATAACTTTCTAAAATTTATAAACAGATGACTAACAAACTCATGGGTTCTGTTACCAGCGGGTTCTGCTTCTTATTCAGTGTGTATAAGAAATACGTAAATCCGGATTATTTTTGGAATGGAAGCATTGGTAATAAAATTTTGATGAATGAGGAGCATTGTCTCAGCACACACAGGCTTTCAGATGCTTGTAAAATACTGACATTTGTCATTGATGAGGTACTCGCTCACTGATTGACAAATGAGGGGCTCGACCACATTTCTGCAACCTGAGACTTGAGGTTGACAAAGAAATCTCCGCTGTCACAGCCTGAAAGATGTACCAAACTCGGGGCAGTGCTGTTCATGCTGCTGAGGTTACCAAATCTAATGACACTTGAGTATTATCCATCTGTCTGTCGTGGTTAGTTATTTGTGATTAAGAACTAAAACTTGATACCATCCCACAACAACAATCTCAGTCAAGGAAAGTAATTACTGACACATTCTAAACTATGACAGATGAGAAGCAGAAATTCCATTACAATAAGGAAGAAAATGGTGTTTTACTATTTCTTTAAGGTGGTATATACCACAGATCAGAGAGGGGGAGGAGGAAGATAAAAAAAGAATTTACTTTGGTCCTTAGCATCATGCACGCAAGAAAGAATTTAACTGTGATTGTCCTTTCCTTTATCTAGACCTATTTATATTGTGATAGATAAAGTCTGTCGTTTTTTCTACCTCAAGTAATCTCATGTACAAAAGCTAATCAGTTTTGCCAATTATAATATGCTTCCCAAGTGATTGTCTTTCAAATTTATATTCTTGGAAAGGAATTCAAGGACAAAATAGAAAGATCTCTAAATCTAAAAATGTAAGGTGTGAAAATTGCCTGCCTTTTACAATTACAAACCAAAAAGCAATATAGCTGATTTATGTATTTGTAGTTCTTAGACCTGTATTGTAAAACAAGAAGCTTTAAGTGAAATTAGCTTTGTAATCATGTTTAAATTATCAAACTCACTGAAAGGATACAGATTCAGTCTTGAAATAAAACAATCATAAATAGGTTGTGCATGTTTCTGATAGCTAATTTTATATGGCCAGTGTTACATTACATAGGTTTGTTTCTATGAACATAGTTATACTTTCACACTTACTTGTAGTGAAATATGCCTAATTTTTCTAGAAGTCAAAGAATAAATCCTTCCTGGTGAATATCATGAAGATGAATTAATTTTATTTTTAGCATAAAGAAAGCACATTACTGTAAAAATAATGGTCATTGGAAATGATTTTTTAAACTGGCTATGTATGTGTGGCTAGACAATTTCTTATCACATTAAATAAACTTGATCGATTCTGGCAGTTATTCTGATGGCACCCAGAAAGATTCTGCCTTCATTTCAATATGATAAATTTATCAGTGCTTCCCTGAACACATTTCTGTCATGACTCCATATATGTGGTGCTTGGGTGTGTGACTGTGTGCACAGAAGTCTGCTTAGGCTTCCATTAAGAATAGCAAACCATTCTTAATTTTAAAGCATTAATTGAAAACCATCAAAAAGCACTTCTTGATCTCCACACTAGTTCTATGATGGCCTGATATCCCTGGATAATAGCCATGATTTATATGTTTATGTGGATTCCCCATCAAGTGTAATTTTTCATATTTTGACCTTAACTGCAACTACAGCTGCCCAAGAGATGTTGAAAGGGCATTGGTCATGTTGAGTGTTAATTTTGGGATGGGGGTGGAACAGTTTGGCTGGAGGAAGGAAAGAGTCCACTTGATCTAGAAAGCATCAGGTTGGACATTGGTTTACAACGAGGAATAAATGATTTCATCCTTTTGGAATGTATGGAATAATAAAAAAATTAAAACTGATAATGCTCAAAGGAAACTGAGAGCAACTTAAATGTCCTTGAAGTGTCCTTGAAGTACTTTCTGGAAGACTCTAAGGCACATATCATAAAACCTATTTTAGGGGCATTTTCTAATTTACCAGAAGGAACCCAATTCAGGGATGGTGAGCTGGGCGGCCTCAGAAGAAGCACTTAGCTTCTCTGAGTGTCATATCTCCTTGCTCAAAAATGTATCTTCTGTATTAAAACAAAAATGCCAAGCGTACCCTGATGGGAGATTTTTTAAAGCATTTTTAAGGTACACAATGCAAGGCAGTGATGAATCATAGGTATCAGGTCCTGGCTGTCATCAGTGTAGCCCTAGAAACTTAGAAAAGGAAAACCTGGAGATCTAGACATCTAGACATCTAGATAAAGCTGAGGGGAACAGCATTTCTTACACTTTCTTGAGCTTTATCAAGAGGAAACTGCATTCTGAATGCAAACGTGTAGAAATGCAATAAAAGAATTTACTCGTGTAACTGTAACCCCTCCGTACAACATCTTAACAATAAAATAAAACTAAAAACAAGAATTTTTACAACTGTAAAAATTCAAGCTTACTCTTGAAAAAAAAATTAAAGATGGTTAACTCTGGTTGGTAGTTTAATGTAGACCTCTGGCAAATGGTTTCCTTTCCAGAACCCAGCTATAAAATGATAAAAAGTGATTGTCAATGAAAATCATAACAGCAATTTAATACCTTCCCATCAAGATAGCCTCAGCCGGCCTCAAATTCTAGATCCTGCTCCCTCAGCCTCCTGGTGCTGGGATGACAATTGTGCCCCACCATTTCTAGCAGTAGCCTTTTGGTTGTTGTTTTTCTGTCAAAACTTTAGGCAAAAATCATCAAGGTCTGCAATGTTATTGCAGAAGCAGGGGAACACCAGGCCTTTGGGCGTGCCTAAATTCTCATTCATAGGCTCTTGTTCTAACCAGGTCATCCCTCTGTTTTAATGCATCATGGGAGGGCTGACTGGCAATAAGAAGCAGAGTGTAAGGAGAGAAGGGATGGTATTGAGCTTATCTGTTTAAGAAAGACTAGGAGTCAGGCACTGGTGGCTCATTTCTGTAATCCTACCTACTCAAGAGGCTGAGATCTTGAGGATTGCAGTAGGAGGCCAGCCTGGGTGGAAAAGTTTGCCAGATTTCATCTTTAAAATAACCAGGAAAATGGCAGGATTGGAGATACTGTTCAGGTAGTAGTATGCTGGTCTCACAAGTAGAAGGCTCTCAGTCTACACCCCAATACTCTTACCGTCAGAAGAAGGAAGGGTACTGGAAAGAAGGAGTTGCAAGAGGGAATTTCCTGCAGTAAATTGTAAGTACATCTGCCATTTTTATTAATACAATTTCATCTCCCTACTAGACTTATTATAATGTGTTGTTCTTTACATCTCAGTGATTAGTAGAGTGAAAGACTACCAATGGACACTTACTATATATTTACAAAAGGCATGAAAAAAAACCCCTTCATATACAGTGAAGCTTTGTTCTCCCACTGATTTCATAAATTAGGAAAGCTCACTGGATGAAGTTCTATGTTTAAATTGTAATGGCTTCCCCCAGTCCCTTCCTGCTCCTTCAATCAAACCTCGGGTTGTATGCATGCTCTACCACTGAATGACATCTCCGATCCATTCCCCCCCCTCCCCCATAAGCTCATTCACATTTGGGGACATGCATCTTTGTTCTAGGATGTGTAATTGTGTTAGGAGCTCGCTGTGTTCTGCGGGATGGGGAGGCTCACATTAGAAGGGGCACTGGAAAGCATCTTATTGTTGCCCTAGAGGGCTGGAAGACCAAGGGAAGGCTCATGGGGTGAGGATGAAGAGGAGTTGACACAGAACCAGAGTGCTAATCAGTGCAGAGATTTTAACTTCCAGGTCTGTTCCTTCCATCCACTCTATGCTTTCTAGCAGCTGGGTGACGCTGCCCCCTCCTCCCTCCCTTCCCCATCCAGCCCTTCTCAAGAGTCCAGCCTATGTAGGCTATTTGGTTCAGATCAGCTCGGTTTTATGTGTGATAATCCAATTCCTGCTTTCCTGTATTCATTAGAGGAAAAGAGAGAAGAAAAAGCAGTGTAAGAGGCCACAGCCTATGATCGTCTTCCTTCCCTCATCTTCTTTATTAGCTGTGTGGTCTGTTCTTTCCCACCATGTCTCACAGTAAACACCTGGACACCAGAACTAGTGATAGAGTTGCTTCTGGCACAAGGTCTTGGTTCAAGTGTGGAGGAGGCAATGGTCTCACCCTATTGGTCACAAGTCTGGACACGCGCAGGACTCCATCAGAGGCTCTGCTAAGTTACCTACCCGCCTTCTTCCGAATATTTATGCCCAAACGCCAGGATGTCAGAGGCCCGTCCACTGCCGTCACACACAACCACTGGGACTGGAGGGGTGTCGCGCAGGTACTCCAGAACAATGGAGATGACATTGGGTCCTCCCTCCACGATGAGCGCCACCACCGGGACACCTTGGCCGATCCCTGCATTGAAAAAAAGGAAAACAAAAAGAAAAAACAAACAAACAAACAAAGAGAAAAGAACACAAAGCCAGCAAACCAAAGAAACAAAAAGAGAAACAAACAAACATAAAAGCACAAACTAAAATTACTGAGCATGAGGGTCGGGGGTGGGGTGGGGGGGTAACAACATATAAAGGGATAAAATACTGAGCGAAATTCACAGAAAACTCATTAGCAGGACTTTTCCACCCCATCAAGTCTTTCTTTATTTTTTACCCTCTCCCCACAATGCTCAGGAGATGGAATTAGCTGAGGCAGCCATGGTGCTACTTAACAGTGGGTAGAGGAAGGAGTAGGTCACCAGAGAGTCACTGGGCCAGCAGCCAAGAGATTGGAAGCTAAATGTAATTTAAGAAAGGCTCAGGGCTGGGAAGGTGGCTTAGGGGTACAGCGCTTGCCTTGCATGCACAAGGCCCTGGGTTCGATTCCTCCGCACCACACAAGCAGAAAAAGCCCGAAGTGGCGCTGTAGCTCAAGTGGTAGGACGCTAGCCTTGAGCTGAAGAGCTGAGGGACAGCGCCCAGCCCCAGAGTTCAAGCCCCATGACTGACAAAAAAAAAAAGAAAGAAAGAAAGAAGAAAGACTCTCATCTATCCACTGGTTTGATTTCTTCTATGAAAAAAGAATTTAAAAAAAATGCCACTTTCTTACGTGTCACTGTGGTAAGAAATTGCCAAAAATAGCTATTTTTTTAAAAATTAAAGATGATCAAAATTAGTGGGAGGCTTGTCCAGTCAACCATTGGCTGAGTTAGAGTTCTGTGTACTCTTTCTGTAGGGATCAGCCCATGATTAATTCTTAACCACATAAAGGTCCCAGTTGATGGCGCACCCTACCGAGTGTGGTAACCAGGGCCTGGTGGTGCTCAGCATGAAGAACTGAATGTAGTTGAAAGAAAGCATTTAAGCTATTTATTTCAAGCGGGCATTGCAGTTTTCTGATACAAAATCCCCCTATTATCAGCATTATATGCATGGTTCAACCTAATATATTAAATAGGAGTATTAAAAACAAGTAGCCATGATAGCCATGAGACAGAGATTAATTCAAGTATCATCAGTGTTTCATTGTATGATTTCCTATTGTTTGCTATCTCATTGTATTTGCTTACCACACTTTCTCAGAATAATTAGAGAAACTGAACGTACCATCACAATGAAATGGTTTTATAGAGTATATGTAACAGTCATTGTGAAAAACAGAACATTGACATTCGGTTTTATAAATATGAACTTACAAAAGCGAATGCAAACAAAAAGAAATCATTGGTCATTCTATCCATTTTGCTATGGTTTTTATTTTACCTTATATCAAGCAACTGTTTCCCAATAGTTTTGGGATTGGTTTTGTGCTCTCTTAGCAAGAACTTTTGTTTGACTTAGGTGACCTATTTCATTTCTAAATACTTCAGTCTTGTTTGTTTCTATGTCAGAAAAGGTGGGTGTTCATGGGTTGATTTTTATCTTAATGAAACAGTCCAGCATGTCAGTTAGATAAAAATGGATGCTGATTTAATTCTAACATTTAAAAATTTAAGGAAAACTATTATTGATCATGTAGGAAACTGAGATTCCTTTGTGCTCTGCAGAGGGAATTGAGAGAAAAAAGTAGACTGGATCTCACTAGTTTGTTATAGATGAGGAAAATCCAACAATTATTCCTTCAAATCCAAGGAGAGAGAAGGAAAATAGAGGCAAAACTCTCTCTGCTTTGACCCAGGAGCCCGAACTAACTCTCAACTGAGGCTCTCGCAAGGTGTTTGGGAAGCACTTTCCCACTGTTGCTGACTGAGACCTTGAAATACGTTCCTGTAGAAAGGCCCTTTGAAGATTAAAAGCTAAGTTGAAATGTTAATAGAGCACAATTCTTTTAGATAAGAATTTGCTGTTCTAAAATATCTAAAATCCCTAGATAGATTTATATTCTAGTATAGAAAGCCTTTCCCCCAATATTCAAAGTCATTTTATAAGGTATTTCTTCAAATACTATGCTTTTATTTCTCCTCCTCCTTTGCTTAGGAACATTCTTCTATATTGCAGACTTTATATAAAAAACATGATATCCCCACTCTTGTCCTGATATCAAAAGACATAGACATCCTAGGATCACTGAAGAGATCCTTGACTTGCCAAATTCTGACTCTCAAGCCTGTATTTTGTTAGTGAGACTGTCATTCCAACTCATAAACAAAGCGGGATGCACTCAGGGTTATCATGGAGGGAGAAATGTTAGAATGGACCTTTTAGAACGCTCCAGAGTTGTGAGGTCTAAGACTATAATAGATGTGATGGCTAGAACTCATCTCTCCCTTTGAGAGGATGAGTAAGTTCAAATGATCTGTTTCCATGGTCTTATTGTTTGAGAATAATAAACATTGATTTATTTTCATGTTGTATTTGTGTCTGATGAGTTTTGGTGATACTTTCTCTAGAAAAGTAAATGCACTGACATAAATAAAAAGTAAATGAACTGACATAAAGATGTTTATATGCGATTTTGAGGGGTTCATGAGTCCTTGAAGCAAATCCATGAATATGCTGATAAGGGACCTCAGAAAATCCCACCCTAATTTAAACACATCCACACATCCAAATGTCAGTTTGTATTAGTTTTTGAAGCTCACAGAGACAGGATCTAGAATGGATTTTCAAATAAAATTCTATGTCTAGGGAAAATCTATTACATTATTTCTGCTCAGAGATATTGACTGGCTAAGCTTTCCAAGGCATGCAATATATGATATCATATATAATCTCTCTTCCTTCTTTTCCTTTACCTTTCCACATTTTCTTTCCTAAACTACATTTTGGACATAGCATATATGTATATGTATATGTATATATATGTGTATAAATATATAAATCTCCAGAAAAATTTATACATTGGAATCTCTAGGATATAATCTTACAGTAAAGAACTAGCATTGGGAAACACTTAAAACAGTACACAAAAACATTTTTGGGAACCTCCTGTATGCAGAGACCTAATGGATTTACAAGGATTATTGCCATGTATTGTATACACATCAAAAAAATTAATATGCCACGTGCCAGTGGATCACACCTGTAATCCTGGCTACTCAAGAGACTGAGATCTGAGGATCATGGTTCAAAGCCAGCCTGGGCAGGAAAGTCTGTGAGACTCTTTGCTCCAACAAACCACTTGAAAGCTGGAAGTGGTGCTGTGGCTCAAGTGGTAGAGCGCTCCCTTTAAGCTGAAGAGCGCAGGGAGAGCACCCAAGCCCAGAGTTCAAGCCCCACGACCGACCAAAAAAAAAATTAATATGTGCTGAACTCTTGTAGTGTTTCATGCCTACAATCCTAGCCACTCAACAGGCTAAGATCGAGAGAAATCATGCTAGAAAAGACCTTGAGATGCCAACTCCAAAAATAAGCAGCAAAAAATGCACACTAAATGCATGGCTCAAGTAATAAGTAGTAGCTGAGCAAACGCAGACCTTGAGTTCAAAGCCAAATACCAGAGGGAGGAGAGAAGAGTTCCCTTGAAGATCCTTAAGAATCTGTCTTGCTTAGCTAACGTACTGACCATTTACCTATTAAACCCCAAAGGAGCTATTTAGATTTACAATAAAAATGAAAAGTGGGACACACACACACACACAGACACACACAGACACACAGACACACACACACACACACACACACACACACACACACACACACACACCCCACAGACATATACATATAAACAATTAGAGAACCATTATTTATTTGGTGTTTTCAGAAAGCTTTTTCATAAAATCATGTTTGAATTTTGGTGGAAAGTAGTTAGGTTGATTCCTTAGTTGATTGAAATCATTTTTTTTTCATTTTTATCTGTAGCCAAAGATTTACAGTAGAGATGTCCATAGAATTTAGTTTGGAGTAAAATGTAAGTTTGCTTTAAGAAAGCAGAGGCACAATGCCTGCCAGACTCTACTGGAAGCATCAGAGCCTACAAACAAGGGAACTTGGGTAATGGATTTATTCCACAGGGTTCCATATTGGCCTCGGGCTTTCCAGTTACATATTGAATCCTAATCTTTTGCATAACTTTTTAGATGTTCTGGTCATATCTGATTATGCATGCTGTGTAATGCAACCAGTGCTCCCAAAGCAGAGTGTCTGAAGTGGTCAAACAAAGCTTGGGTTGGGGTATCATGAGCAAGAGAGATAACAGAAACAGAAGAATGTCTTAAAATTCAAATGCTTTCTTTCTTTATTCCTAAACCTTTATCTCTTTCTCCTAACCTAATCTATGATCAGTACAGTACTTGTGAAAACATTTACTGTGCTGCAGAGAAGTGTTTGGATTACTGAGGATTTTGTTCAAACTAACACTTTGGTTTTATGTCAAGATCACCAGATACAATCTAAAGTACTTATGAGACTAAAAGATCATCTCTTTGTTATTGGGAAAATGGCTCATATTTATCTAGGAATGGGGTACAGAAGATTGTTTACTATAAGCCTCAGATCCTGGTTGTTATGATATAGGTCATTCTGAAAGGGGTTCCCACTGTATGATAACTCCCCAAAGATCTTGTCCAATTCAAGACTATGCCTGTCATTGGTGAGACATATTTCTGTTTGCCATTTAAAGCCCTGGGATTCTTAATGTTTTAAGTTTGTGTGTTGAGCCAAGTGTGAGTAGCTCATACCTGTAATCTAAGCTACTCAGGAGGCTGAGATCTGAGGATTGAGGTTCAAAATCAGCTTGGGCAGAAAAGTCCACAAGACCCTTATCTCCAATTAAGCATCAAAAAAGTGGGAAGTGGAACTGTGGCTCACATGGTAGAGCACCAGCCTTAAGCAGAAAAGCTCAAGGACAGTGCCTAAGCCCTAGGAGTTGCATACACACATAACAAGTTTATGTCTTACAAAGGAATAATGGATGTTGTGAACCTTTATCAATCCCTTGAACATGTCCTCCTTATAATTCCTCTTACTGTGCTTTGATTT